TCTTGGTGGTAATAGTAAATACTCCCAGAGAGGCACTGAAGGACTGACGTGAAGAAGGGTTTCGTGTAAACAGCCGTTGCAAACGAGCCAGTCGATCCTAAGCACTAGGCGAAAGCCGATGTCGATGTGGCGTGTTTATTGAACCATGATGCTGTCCGTTCACGTCCGACAGGCGAAAGGGAATCCGGTTCCTATTACGTGAGAGTTTGTCGGGGTAACCCAAAAAGACCCGGAGACGCCGTCGGGAAATCCCGGAAGAGTTTTCTTTTCTGCGTGAGCGTTCGAGTTTCATGGAATTCTCTAGTAGGGAGATATGGTTTGGAACGCGAAGAGCACCGCAGTTGCGGCGGTGTCCGGATCTTCCCCTCGGACCTTTAAAATCCGCCAAATGGCCACGTGCGGGTGTTGCGCCTGATCGTACCCACATCCGCAGCCGGTCTCCAAGGATAGAAGCCTCTAGTCGATTCAATAATGTAAGTAAGGGAAGTCGACAAATTGGACCTGTTATTGGAGTTGCCATTAACTGACCGGGTGTGCAGTGTTTGTCTCCACTCTGCAAGAGGCAACTTCATGGCATTCAGCTTGAGTGACAAAATGAGGCATGTTTCGGAGGTTCATCCGAACCACAGACCGGTCTATAAGTGCACGGACTGCCAAAAGACCTTCCTGTCGAAATATGCCGCTGAATGCCACATGCCCAAGTGCACTGGGCGAACTCCCCCACTTGAAGGCGATGTGTTCAAGTGTAATTCTTGTGGGAAGGAGTTCAAGACAAAACGTGGACTTTCACAGACTCAAACCTGACTTGGTGGTACCTGGGCCAACTCCCCCACTTGAAGGCGATGTGTTTAAGTGTAATTCATGTGGTAGGGAGTTCAAGACACAGTGTGGACATTCACAGCCTGAACACCCGCTCGTTCGTAACGAAGCCAGGGTTGCTTGAACCGAGAATAGCAAGGAGTTACGAGATCGAAGAGGGCAGAAGTTTACTTTGATCAAGAAAGAGGGCAAAGACGGCAGCAAAGTGGACTCTTACAGACCGGTTACCGTCTGTTCGCTTCTAAGTCGGTTATACTGGGGAATAATCTACCAGAAGCTAAGAGTCCATGTACGATTCACACCCCGCCAAAAGGGGTTCGTGTCGGAAGCGGTGTGCCTCAATAATTTTCACATTATCCTTAACGAGTTGCTGCGGCACTCGAAAGGCAACGCAGGTCTTGTCACAGTGCAGCTGAACATCAGCAAAGCTTTTGATATGATTCCCCATAGTCTTATTGGGGAAGCACTGCGAAAGAATGGTCTACCCGAGTTGGTGGTACATCACGTGATAAACTCATATAAAGATGTGCACACAGTCATCAAACAAGGCATGGTCGAGATTCCCATGCAGCTCCAGCGAGGGGTGAAGCAAGGCGATCCCCTCTTCCCACTTATCTTTAACGCAGTTTTGGAACCCTTTTTACTGCTGCTGGAGCTTCAGAGACGAAGGTATATCGTCGCTGACCTTCGCCGACGACTTAATTCTGGTTGCAACCAAGGTACCACACCCATAGGTGTTCCTTTTCCATTCAATTTGCATTAAAAAAATGCCATTAAATTATCACTGATAATAATTAATGGTAATAAATGGAGAATTGCCAATGGCATTACTATTGGTGAACGCAATGGAAATCCCATTGCGTGCCATTGGAACTTCATCAGCATGCTTTTTTCCATAATACATATAATAATATTGTTGAGAATTTGGTTCTTCAGGTACCTGAACCAAGGCACGTACCTGGATGTCTGGCTTTTCATCATTGTGTTTAGATTTTTTTTCACTTGCTTCTGATAAAACTACATCACTGTCACAGATGACTTCGACCTCCTCTATATTCTGGCATGGTTCAAAATCATCAAACAATGCTTCTAATGTAGGCTCTTTTACTTGTCTAGGGGTTGTTTAATAAAGGACTCCGGGTAGTTGAATACATACGAGGGTGGATTGATAAGTTTCCGGCCTAACCAAGAGATGACGCCACTAGGCCTACCTTGAGGTGACATTCTATAGTACCATCCTTGGATAGCTTGTAGCTATAGTTTCAGCCCGATCTCCTTGCTAGTGTAGGTTTGACAGCACGCTGAACAAGACGCCTCTGTGGTTTTCGTAAAAATGGAAAAGCAGGAAAATCGTGCTGTCATCAAATACTTTTATTTGAAGGGGTTAACGCCGAAGGAAATTAAAAAAGAGATGGACTCAACACTGGGGACATCCTCCCCGTCATATTCAACCGTTAAGCAGTGGGTTTCCGAGTTTAAAAAGGGTCGTGTGAGCACCTCTGATGGGCCTCGCTCAGGACGCCCCGTTGAGGTCACAACTCCAGATATGATCGAAAAAATTCATCAAATAGTGCTGGGAGACCGCAGATTGAAAGTGCGTGAGATAGCTGAGACCTGTAAGATGTCATATGAACGTGTGCAACATATTTTGCACCAACATTTGCATATGGAAAAGCTCTGTGCAAGATGGGTGCCGCGTTTGCTAACAGTCGACCAAAAATTGATTCGAAAAAACATTTCTACCGCAAATTTGTCATTGTATAAGCGTAATCCAAGCGAATTTTTGCGTCGATTCGTAACCGTTGACGAAACGTGGGTCCACCACTACACTCCTGAAACCAAAGAACAGTCTAAACAGTGGATTGGACCAGGGGAACCAACTCCAAAGAAGGCAAAAACAATTTTTTCGGCGAACAAGGTTATGGCTACTGTTTTTTGGGATGCAAGAGGTATTATATACATTGATTACCTTGCAAAGGGTAATACTATCACTGGTCAATACTACGCAGACTTATTGCAACGTTTGAGCCACGAGGTGAAAATTAAACGACCTCATCTGGCGAAGAAAAAAATCTTGTTTCATCACGATAACGCACCAGCGCACACGTCAATCGTTGCGACGGCTAAAATCAACGATCTAAAGTTTGAATTGATGCCGCACCCTCCTTACTCTCCAGACCTAGCCCCGAGTGACTATTTTCTGTTCCCTAATCTCAAAAAATGGCTTGGCGGTAAGAGATTTGCGGACAATGAAGAAGTAATCGAAGCTGTAAATGGTTATTTTGAGGAGCTTGACGAATCAGTCTATAGAGATGGCATTAATAGACTGGAACACCGCTATGAGAAATGTATCAGCCTTGGAGGAGATTATGTTGAGAAATAAAAAAAAAAAATTTTTAAAAACCTTGTTTTTCTTGGTCAGGCCGGAAACTTATCAATCCACCCTCGTATATAATAAACATAATAGTGAATATAAACAGCAAACAGCAAAACGAGTAACAAACAAGAACTATATATACAAAACTTATATACAATATTCAATATATCGCGTCTTCCAAAATACATACGTCTTCGTGTAATCACCATAAATACGTCTATCTTCTTTTTTGAGCAAAAATGCTCAACGTCTAAATGAAATATACCGTTTTAATCGTAAGATCAAATGAACTTACCTTAAGTGATGTTCGATCTTGATTATATGAAGGCCTCGTCGAAATAAATAAACGTGTATTGTAGTACCTCCACCACTGGGTAAATATTCACAACTTTAAAGAAACTACTATGACTCCCTTGCACTCTCTATCGCGTCCGTTGCCTCAGTTTTATTTTAAAGAGTTGTTGCAACAATATTAGGGATTACATTAAATGGGTCTGGGTTGGGACTTCATTTATTTCGACGAAGCCTTCATATAATCAAGATCGAACATCACTTAAGGTAAGTTCGTTTGATCTTACGATTATATTCGGCCTAGTCTCATAAATAAAAGTGTATTGTAGCTGTTTAAAGTAGTTGCAACAAAAAATTACTTAAACATATATTATATGAAGATATGTTTTATTTAATCGAAAACACCAAAAAACAATGGTACAAAAGTATAAGGTAAACATATATCTATATGTATATAAATGAAAACCAACTAACTATAAGGCTATTGATACATAATCATAATAGGTAACTCAAGTACATGTGCATGTCTAAATTTAATAAACAGACGCTGATAATATTGTGTTAGCAAACTTTTTATTGTCTATTATAGGCCTATTGTAGAAATTTGCAAATGATCTTGAATTTTGGGTCCAGCCTGCAGCAAGTCTAATAGAGTCAAAGCTTACGCCATTCTTAGCTGCCGCTGACGTTGCTGCATGACGTGTACTGTGCGCCTTAAAGGTGTTTATGTCAATTGCACTTTTTCTTAAGACATTTTTTATCCATCTAACAAGAGTGTGCGATGTTGCTCTTCGAAAGGGTCTTTTATGTGTGATAATTAAGAAGTCGCAAGGACCTCTCAAGTCCTTCGTTTCATCTAAGTATTGTAGCAATGTTGTGGCTACACAAACTGCGGGATCCAGATGATACATAGGCAAAATTAAAAAGGGTTGAGTTCGTTTGAGAGATGTTGTTTTTATTCTACGAGGAATTTTTATCTCGATCCGATCAGGGTGGATTAATATGTTACTAATTTCAATGAGACTGAATGCTTGAATACGCTGCCCTGTAGCAAGTGCTAAAAGAGTAACTAATTTTTCTGAAAGGAATTCAAGAGTAATAGGATTACTGGCAAGAGATCTAAAGTAATCAACCACTATGCCAGGGTCTGATCCGACGGGACTTGAACCTTGACGAAACTCTGGTACAAACTAGAGTGGGTGGATCGGCTTGCGAGTTTCGATGATTTAGGGAGCCGGACCATAGGTTCAACCGCAATGGAGGGGTTCTTAAAGAGAAGCCAGACTAAGACAAGTCCCTGAAAGAGGGCAGCAGCTCTTTCAGTACTCAGGGTGGCAGAGATCACGAGGATCGGTATGGCACTCTGATGCACAATACTGCGATGTGGAAGGCAACGGGAAACCACCACATTATGATCCCGAGTAAAACGTTCAACTACTGAAATTAAATGATGGCGTCCTCTGGGGTAAAGCACTCCGGACGTAAACTAGTCCCCCATTCNATGTTGTTTTTATTCTATGAGGAATTTTTATCTCGATCCGATCAGGGTGGATTAATATGTTACTAATTTCAATGAGACTTAATGTTTGAATACGCTGCCCTGTAGCAAGTGCTAAAAGAGTAACTAATTTTTCTGAAAGGAATTCAAGAGTAATAGGATTACTGGCAAGAGATCTAAAGTAATCAACCACTATGCCAGGGTCCCATGTATTTTCATATCTGGGTAACGGCTGTCTTAAACTAAAGACGCCTCGGAAGAATCTCTTGATCCTAAAGTCTTGTGCCAGGTTCGGACCCGCTATCTGTGCTAGCGCCGATCTGTAGCTATTAAGTGAACCATAAGAAGCACCCTTTTTAAACTGATCCGTTAAAAATTGTAAAACACGTGGGATTTTTATAGAAAATACGTTAATATTGTTTTTAGTGCAGAACTCCCACCACAACCTTAAGCCGCAAGAATATTGCTTTAAGGTATTTTGTGTTATTGATAGCAGGCATATCTCCAAAGAATCCAGTGGTACTTCCCCTAATGAGAGGGCTTTCCTGATAATTTCCCTGCTACCAGGGAAAAAGTCTCCTATAAGGGGTGTGGAATTCTGTTGAAAGAGAGCAAAAATTTTTTAGGTTTGAAAATGATAGGTTCTTCAATAAGTAATGATTGAAATACTGGGAACCATGTTTGGGAGGTCCAGAGGGGTACGACTACCACTCCTTCAGCTTCATCTGTCATGACCTTTCGTAACATTCGTAAGATCAATGCAAAAGGCGGAAACGCATAGAAATTAAGATTTTTCCAATTAACAGTGAATGCATCCACCGCAAATGCCTCTGGATCTCTTACCCAAGAAAAAAACTTGACATTTTTTATTTATCCTGCTAGCAAAAAAGATCGACCGATAATTTTCCAAAAACTGTCTCAATTTCTTGAAAAGCGTCAACCGATAAACTCCATTCTGTTTCTCTATGTTGTTGACGCGACGCGATATCAGCGTCTCTATTGACTTTGGTGTTGATATAACTAGCTAAAATGTGTATATTTCGTTCTTCACAATAATTCCAAATTCTAGATGTAATTTCCTGTAGATGTTTAAAACGGACACTTCCCATTTTATTTATACAGGCTACGGCTGTGGTATTGTCTAATCGACAAAGAAGATTGCAGCTTGATAATTTAGATGTAAAACATTGAAGACCTAGGCATAATGCTAAGAGTTCGAGGTAATTGATATGGAATTTTTTTTCCTCATCCGACCAGAAACCATGAGTGCTGTTACCCCTACAATAAGCTCCCCAGCCTGAACCCGAAGCATCCGTAAAAATTTCCATATGGTACTTGTCGACTCGAATGTTATTGAAAGATTTTGGAACATTTTTAATGAACCAATTCAGGTCGTCTATCAAATATGCGGAAATTTTCATGAGTGCATTGTAATTTCCTCCTGATTTTTTTAAGGCTAACATTTTTTGACGTTCAAAAATTTTTGTATGTAAAAAACCGTATTTGATTGTTGGACAAGCTGAGACGATGGTTCCTAGAAACCTTGAAAACCGTCTAATTGTGCATTCAGATATTTTTAATAGGCGTTTTAGTATTTTAAGTATTCGTTCCCGTTTGTCGTCTGGGAGAGAGATCGACATGGTATTTGAATCATAAATAAACCCTAAGAAAGCACAACTGTTACTAGGTAATAAGTTACACTTCTCATAATTTATTAGGAACCCTAGATAGTTAAGTAAATTTATAGTTAATTTTACGTTATGCATGCATTCATCAAAAGATTGGCCTAGGATTAGAAAGTCGTCCAAGTAAACTACCAAAATAACATTTTTCTCTCTCAGGAATTTTATAACAGGTTTTAGGATCTTTGTAAAGATTTGAGGGGCACAATTTAACCCAAAGGGTAAACAATTGTACTCATACAGTGTGCCTTTAAAGGTAAATCGCAAAAATTTTCTGTGAGATAACCGTATGGGTAATAAATAATACGCATCTTTAAGGTCAACTGTACACATGAAGCTATTTTTTGAGGTTTAAGATTAGACGATGTGAACCATTCGGCTTACTTACAGTAAAAACTTTTGAAACAAATTGGGTTTTGCAGTATTTTGCCACAGAAATTGCACCTAGCTGTAATAACTGTTTTAATAAATCCCCTATAATTTGACTTTCCCTGTACGACCAATTATTTTCTATTGGTTTTTTTAATTGTCTTGCTTTCTTATAAAATGGAATACTAATTCCTCTAATATGTGATAATATTTTATTGGACGCAGGAATTTTTCTCCATCTATTTGAAAAATTTCTTAAACGCCCACAGGACTCACTGACCTGTGTGTCTAGTACGGATACTGACGACTTCGCTGATTGGTCTTGTTGTCCATCTTTCTTCCCTGAAATTGTCGAGTTTTTCTGTGTGTCAAGTTCACCGGAGCCTGATTGGACTGTCCACTGCTCTTGGTTCCATACTTTCGAGCAGGTGGACTCCTGAAGTTTCTGGAAGTTGAAGCTTTTGCTAATATCTGAGTAGAAAGTCGTACAAGTCTTTTCTGGACCCTTAATTGTTGTCCTGATTTTTCTAGCTCCTTTAGTGACTTGATCTTGCTATCTAAGTCAGATCCGAAGAGAAACTCCGTAATTGGAGTGTCTGTTAAAATGCCTTTAAGGTCTTTATTAAGGTTGATTGCTATCAGTTCCCTGCGGGATACTGATTCCGAATGACATATATTAGTCAATATTCTACCTGCATCACTAAGCAGGTGTATGTACTTTTTATTATCAGGTGTTGAGTTTTCTAAGAGACTGGTTAAGGCTACACCTATTGCGGTTAAACTGGCCCCCAATTGCTGTTGCAGATCAGACAACCGCACATCCCTTCTTAAAACTGATTCAGAGGAAGCAAGTTTTACTTCCGGGTTAATGCGTGGTGGGCACAACAGCACGCAATTACTTGGAGGCAAGTATTTAGCTGATAATTTTTTACAGGTCTCCTCACTGAGACCAGATGCTAAAATGTTGGTTTAGTTGGTCCCCCAAAGACCGTTTCCGGTTTTTTATCATTCCCCAGAAGGGAAAGAATTTCATCCTGCAACTTTGGCGCTTCCTTAAGTATTTCAGTAGAATTGTCTGAAAAAACAAAATTGGAAGAGATTGACCATTGATCTCTAAGTATCTACATTATGTAAGGTAAAGCACTTGCTTCCCAAATAAGTAGAAGATCTGTTGTCACAAACAGAAAGCATAAGCTAAGCATTTTTTTCCCGATGTCCCAATCGGAAGTTATGCATTTAATTCCGTTATCACAAACGGAGGCATCTCTTTCCGATGTCCCAATCGGAAGTTATGCATTTAATTCCGTTATCACAAACGGAGGCATTTCTTTCCGATGTCCCAATCGGAAGTTATGCGTTTAATTCCGTTATCACAAACGGAGAGAGAGAAAAACTCTGTTGGTTTTATTTGTCTGTAACCTAAGTAGACAACCTTTGGAATGTTTTCCTCAAAACATTCATTTCCTTAAGAAAAATAAAAAACCCTAACCGGGTAAACCAGAACTGACAACGGTAGCAACACCGCTGGGTCCACTCTCTTGGACGTTGCTACGATTTGGTGTGGTACGGTCGCTCGCATAGTCTCTGTGTCTATAAATAGCATCAAAAGACTCCGCTTCGGGTAACTCTGACAACGCAGCACTGTGAGTTGACATTTGCGAAGAAGCGACGATGGCGAGGAGCTGTAGCGTCTCTTTCTTTCACAAACATTTTCGCTGCCTCCTTCTGCTTGGCTCGAACTGTCTGATGATAGAACTCGAACTCGACCTGTAACTCGGCGTTTCGCCATGTTTTTATGGCGTTTTTCCATTTTTTCCAGTCTGAACTCGAGTCTTTAGAATTTTAAAAACTCCATGCTGATCCTTAGAACTATTCGGACTCCTTTTCCTTTTGGTGATTTTTCGAGGCATAATGTCAACGTTTAGCAAACGTTTTCGTAAACGGACGCGACCAACGTGTGAATACTTTCGCACAAAAACGAAGACTGAGGCAACGGACGCGATAGAGAGTGGAAGGGAGTCATAGTAGTTTCTTTAAAGTTGTGAATATTTAGCCAGTGGCGGAGGTACTACAATACACGTTTATTTATGAGACGAGGCCGAATATAATCAAACATCTTACCACCTTGCTTGTCTCTCACTCTACTGCCGTGGTGGTCCCTCACGTACCCCCAACATGCACGCATAGGTAAAACTAGATTATTGATTTTCCACCACCTAATTGGCAATATCACTACTCTTGCACCTGGGCAAGCAAAAACTGTATCCAAAAAGGCTAATAGTACATGTGGCCAGGAATTATATTGTAAATAGAAACAATTATTTTTCCATTTATGCCAAATGGTTTTGAATGGAATTTACAAATTTTCCATTGATTCCCATTGAGAGTCAAGAAGTTGTCCCTCAAACCGACACAGAAGGCAAAGTTAATCTCCACCTACCTAGTCCCACACTACCTGTATAGACTGGTGCTGGCAGTTCCGCCAGTCACAGCTATCAGGCAACTTGACCAGGAGCTAAGGGTAGTGATACGCGACATTTACCACTTGCCGCAATTAGTAGCTGATGGTCTTATATACTGCGGCAAAAGAGACGGGGGACTAAGTTTTCCTAAGCTGGAGGTGGTTGTAATAAGCTCCAGCATGACGGCGGGGTACCGTTTCCTTAACGGAACGGACCCCATTATGCGAGCTCTTGCAGACGGGACAGGCTTGGTGAAACGTCTCGAAAATCTGGCCCGTTCTGCGCGAGTGAATTGGCCCTTACGAGATATAAGCAAAGGGCCAAGAGAGAAGAGCTCGCAACGTGGGCTTCAATGGTTTCGCAAGGCAAGTCGTCGGTTAAGTCTCTTTCCGACAGCGTTCTTGCCAGTGCATGGCTGCTTAACCTTAAACTCCTGAAGCCATGCCGATTTATAACAGCGCTCAAAATGCGAACCAAGATCGCCGTCACAAGGGTGGTGATGAACAGAGCGAAGCTCCAGGCGGACCTCAAATGTAGAAGATGTGTGTCCATGTTGGAGACGCATGGCCACAGGGACGAAGGAGCAAATTTAGAAAAGTGTGCTCCGCTACTAGCTGTCCTCCAGCAGAGGGTAGGAGCTGATGCTGGAGAAGTCCTACCGGTTGTCGTAGGAACGAGGGAGGCAATACCCAAGGAAACGGTCGAGGTGCTCAAGAAGCTACAAATTAACGACCTTAAAACGCTCATCACCATCTCGACGATAGCGTTCGTAGTATGTATCACACTTTCATGGGCTACGATGCCCCGCCTCGCTCCGGCATCGGTTAGCTGGGACCGAGCCGGAAACACCTGACCAATTAGCTCACTGGTATTTCTAATTTTAACTCTGTGACTTGTCTTTGTGTGTATCATCCGAGGATGATTTTTAATTATTTATTACTATTTATTATTTTAACGAACTGACCATCTCAGGCTAGACCCTTTACATCTAGCCTGACAATTGTGATATAAGTGCTATGATATTTATGTTGTGTGATCCGTCTTAATTTATTATTTTAGGCGACAGTTAGTTACCGATATCAGCGATGCGAGTCCTGGGTTTGAGGCTGGTGTGACGTGGGCCGAATCGGTGCGGCGAAGCGTAGCTGAGACTGTCTCGCGTTGATAATGCCCACATATGAAGTAGACGAAACACGTGTCCGCTCAAATAAAATTATTTGTGATAATTAGAGGTGAGTATTCCTTTTAATTTTTAACTTTATCAAACGGCAGAATTTTGCTCAACACAAATGCCGCTTCCGAAGAAACAGTCCGATAGGCCGTCGCTGCTTTTACGGTCAAAATTCTTTGCGCGATTTTATGCGAAATTTCCTTGCTCTTGTTAACCACATATTGAATATGTAATTTCCACGGAAACTTTTCATCGATTATTATACCTAAATATTTAATGCTCTCTGAGCAGTGTATAAATCGCCCGTTCAATGTGAAAGCAGATCTCTGTTGATTATTTTTTTAACCAAAAAATAACGCTTCCGTTTTTTCTGCATTGAACTGTAATTTTAAATCTTCCGCCCATTTTGACAACATAACAAGTGCTTGTTGGCTTAATTTTTTAATACTTTATATTGCCTCGCTTCGACGACCAGCAAGGTATCGTCTGCAAATGAAAGAATTTTACATCCGGCCGGTAACGCAATATCAAAAATTGTATTATAATTGTTTCCGACTTCATCGGAACTAAACTCCTCACTATTTTGTAGAATCTCCGGCCGTTGGCTGACATTTCGTCTTCCGGTTGATTACCTAAAAAACGGGTTTCCTCGCCATTAAATTCGCGTTGCGACTTACCCTTTTCTCCGCTTTCGGCATCTGAAACGTCATCACACCATGCAATATTTTTTGTTTTAGACGAACACTCCACGTCACTTGCTACACTTGCACTAACTGTCGATGTCGACCGCTTTCGTCGCCGTTCGCGTGAACTAGCCTCGGTAGGCGTGGCTACTCTCTTTTCCGACATCGCACAACCGATCGGCTCGACTGCTCGATGCGAACTCCCGACAACACTATGTATTGGTAGAAAATATTTACAGCAGTGCCGCTGCTCCACCCGCTCCACAGGAGCGGGCCGGAGCACGACCCCTGCGGACAACCCCTTTCAACTATCCTGGTTACCGCGGTTCCGGAAATGGTAACAACAGCGGTTCTGTCGCTAAAATAACTTTGAACTAATTTTATTAAATTTCCAGAAATGTTATGTTTGCGCAATTCGAAAATAATTCTTGGCCACCAAGCGTTGTCGAAAGCTCCTGAGATATCTAAAGCAATAGTAGCGACGTAGTTATCATTCCTACGAGAGTTTTTAACATTGTCGATGACTGCATTAGCGTCCGTGGTGGACCTGCCAGAAACAAAACTAAATTGATTTATATTAAGTCCTCCGTTTTTATTAATTTCAAACTGCAATCGAGTAGTAAAAATTCTATCTAAAATTTTGCCAACGATCGGTAACAAGCTGATGGGACGGAAGCTTTTTACGTCGTCGAAATTTCGCTTACCCGGTTTTGGTATAATTTTTACCGATTGTTTTTTCCAGCAGGCTGGAAAAACGCCTAAATAAAAACTATTGAAAATATTGATAAAAACATCCGGCGCGACTTTAAAAGCTGCCAGGGCTGCGTCGGAAGTGATTCCGTCGAGTCCCGACGCTTTACGCGGATTCATCCTGCCGACGGCACGCTCTATTTCCGCGTAAGTGATATTCTTAAAAAACCCATCAAACTCGATTGCATTGTTCGCGGCCGTGCGAACTCGCGGGTGATCTTGTTTGTCTGAAATAGGGTCGTCCCACGGAAAGAAGGAATGTAGAATAAAATCGGCCGTATCTTTAGTGAATGTGCCGTCGGGAAGTTTTAGATTTTGGAAACTTATTTTATTAGTTTTTTTACCGCGAATGACTTTGTAGACCGTTCCCCAAGGATCTTTTTCTGAATTACGCGTGCAAAATTCTTTAAATTTGTCACCCCTTGTTTTAATTAATAATTCTTTATATTCCCGAAATGCATGGTCATATTCGGCTCTTTTATTGATTCCAATAGCGTCGTTTTTTTTCACGTTGAAAAGAGCGACGATGTCTACGCGATTCTGATATTTTTTCAGTAAGCTGCTTTGTCCACCACGGTACACTATTTCTAAAAGATTTAGTAGGCGGCATTGACGCCTCGCAAGCTGCCACAATACAGTCATTTAAAAAACTAGCGCGATCTGAAACATTATTTTCGTCTAATAGTACTATGTTTCCTATGCTATCCCTAAATTTTTCAGAAAAAACGTCCCAATCTGCTTTATTATAGCAAAACCTACGGTCGACAAAATCTATCTCGCTATTCTTTAAAGAAATTTGCCAAAAACTTAACCTGTGATCGGAGAGTGTTTCTTCGTCAACAAGTTGCCAATTTTTAATTAGTTTAAGTGCCTCAAAATTTACTACAGTTAGATCAACAAAACTGGTACCGCGATGTCCGACAAAAGTTGGTTCAGTATTATTATTTAAGACAATTGAATTATTTTGTTCAAA